ATCAAAGATTTATCGAATGACGTGTTTAGTTTTCGTCAACGAAATGGGGAAGTTGCAGTTTGATTTGTCAGAGGTGGGGGGGTTAAAATCGTGGTAAGGACGAAAGTGAGTGACAAATTGTGGGGCCTCATTTGTTGTTTTTCTTGTTTTCTTCTTTTTCTGTGCAACTTTGTAAAAGCCACCACGTGCCTTACTTAAACGTTAGAAAGAACTGAAAAACGGGGAGGAAAAGAAGATTCCTGAACGAAGTTTAGGAATTTCGCAGGAAACACTTGACGAGTTTCATGTTGGGCGGGCTCCTCTATTCGCTAAAGAAAATAAAAAAAGAATGAGAGAGAAAGAGAGAGAGAGAGAGAGAAGAGAGAGAAGAGATGCCACTTTGAGATTCTTCTTCGAGAGGATTACACAATGAAATATATTTCCCTCTCGCGTCTTTTGCCCTCACCTCGTATCTCCCCYTCCTCCTCCTCCACCCATGTCTCCCTCCCGTTCCTCTAAACTGGAAGCTCGGTTCACCCTCGCTAAATATAAAACGTCGGACCCGATTCTAGAAGAGAGAAAGCGAGCAGTCACACAAATCACAATGCCCCGTCTTTTAGGATGAGACCAAACGAAGAAAGGGAATCAAACGAACAATTTTTCTTTTTAGCTTTCTTCTCTTCTCTCTGGCTTTTCTCATTTTTTTTTTTTTTTTTCTTTAGTTTTTAATCTTTTTCTAGCTTGACAAGTAAGACTACAACGACACTAGAACTACGACAAAGACAAAGGGAAATAAAATATGTGATGATAGTTTTGTTGTTGTTCGTAAAGCAAAACGCGAATTATTATCAACGCAACAAAACGATCGATGATGACCGATTCCAACAAGCGCCCTCATCTTCAACTTACACTACTTCCCTTTTCTTGGAATTGTTATCAACGGAGAAAAGACCCTTTTTCCGAAAAACCCTCCATCCTTTATTCTTTTTCCATTTAACGCGAATAGGGGTTGGTCATTTTTAGTTGCGATCGATAACGTGAAGAAAAATTCGTCTTTTGAGGTTTTACTGATATTCGAAACAATTCAGTTTCTTTTTCATTCTTTATTTATCTTTTCACTGTAATAATTAATTAAATAAACAAAATAGTAACAAATAAAACTAGAAAATTTCGTTGATTATTAATTTGATGCATTTCTTCCGTTGCAATCGTATATGCACACACATGCACTCACATATTTCGTTGTTCTGATTGAAATTATTGTATTTTTGTTTTTTGGGTATCTGTCGTATATTTTTAACAAATAACAAAAATTTTCTAATATTATTCTTATACACTTTAAAATTCTATATCAAATAAAACGAAATATAATTGAAAAGAAAAGAAAAAGAAGAAGAAGAAGAAGAAAAAAAAAAGCAACCAATAAAATCGTAGCGGTTCTAATCTGAAGTATCCAATACAAAAAAAAAGAAGAAAAAAATAACACACACAAATCAGGTTTTATGGAAATGGTGTTATCCGCTGCCACATATATTTGTATTTTGATTCGTCCCATTTCTTAAAAAAAAAAAAAAAAAAAAAAAAACAACCTACACAACAACAACAAAATATTTCCACCTTTTATCTCGCCGTTCCTCTTCTTCTTCTTCTTCTTCATCTTCTGTGTCGAATAAAATAAAAATAAAAATATAAAAAAATAAATATCCGTAAATTTGTATAATGGATCCTTAATTTTTAAATCAATTTCACACATATCATATATATATATATAGATATTATTTAGGTCGTCTTGTGTGTGTAACATCATAATTATTCATTCGTTTTAAATGGAATCTCTCTGAAAAAAAAAAATATGAAAAAAAAGATAAAACCGGGAGGATTATAAATCGAAAGGAAACGTTTTCGAATATAACGCAAAGTGGTTCTTCGATCTCGTAAAATTGAATTCTTTTGCTAGTCGGTAAAGTGGTGGTGGTGGTGGTGAATAGAAGTATCTCTCATGGTTGGATGGTAGTGGTGGTAAGTTGGGATTCTTATTTGCGATTCATGTTAGACGATATACGCGGTTGCTGCACTCATCTCAGACATGTTAAGCGTATCATTCGAATTTTATTCTTTTTTATTGTCCTCTGTCTCATCTCATATTTTGTCTCTCTCTCTCTCTCTGTCTATCTGTCTGTCTGTCTATCTCTCTTTACCTCCCACCGTCATCCCTTAGCAACCCCCCCCCCTCCATTTTCCTCTTTCCATCTCTCTTTCTTGGATACTACTACCCATCGTCGTCTTTCGGTTTTGAGTGTCAAAAACGATTCGCGAGTTTCTGAAAAGATAGACGATGCTTGAATCGGGCAGCTTTTATCGTAAAGTAGGATGAGTTAACCGGCTTGCAGAGTAAAATGCAAGCTTTAAATAAGCACGATGTTTGCTCTTGTAGATAGTACGACGCCGCGGCCTCAATGTTGGAGGTCGGAACTATACTTTTCTTCAGATTTTCTTTCTCTTTTCTTTTTCTTTTTTTATTTTCTTCTTGACAGAACAAACAAGCTTTCTTTTTCTACGTTTTCTCGATTAATCTTTTCGTAATAATCACGAGAATTGTATATAATAGTTAATCCTTTTTTGAGGGTTCGAGATAATCATGACTCTTTGTTAATAAACAAATAATTCGCGATTAATAAAATAATATTGCGATTATAAATTGAGATATAAACTATTCTATCTTTCAATTTGAATGAAATTGCATACAGTGTGCAAAATTTTATTTAAATCGGTTCAGTAGTTTAGGAGTTCATTGCGGACAAACAATGTGACACATAATTTATGTATGTTAAGAAGATATATCTATACGGAATCTATCTATCTATCTATCTATCTATATATATATATATATATTTTATAGTATTTTTATTTATTTATATTTTTTATTATTATACTTTATCTAATAATTATATATAATATTAAAACCCATTTTTTGTGTGGGGATCAAATTAATCAAGTTAATTGATCAATGTGTGTATTTTTTTTTTAATATTAATACAACAACAACGTAATATAAATTTAATTAAGCTTTTATTTGTTTTGTTTGATATATGAAAAAGCAACAGTGCATCAGTTACGTCAAAAAATATAAAAATGTTACGTGTTAGGGTTGATACATTTTAATAATATCGGTCTACTTCAAAACAGACATGAGTTAATCAAATCAATGAAAAATATTGACGATCATATCTTTTTGCTGATTTGGATTCACTTCTCGGATGTTCAAATACAGAAGCAGAAGAAAGAAAGAAAGAAAGAAAGAAAGAGAAGAATGACTTAGTGAGTGAGTGAGTGAGTGAGTGAGTGAGTGAGTGAGAGTAACGAGGAGTTTCTCTTTCACTCCGAGAATAGTTTGTGGACGAGGCCACATATAGAATGCGTCGAGTACAAATAGAGGAATATGGTAAGACGGATAAAATGTGTACAGGGGGGGAAGGGGGAGGGGAATAGGAGGAGGGAAGGGGAGGGGACAGGGGTGTGTTTAGTGATTCCGAGTTAGGAGAGTGTAGGAATGAATGAGAGAAAGAAGTCGAGAGAGATCAGAGGCCAAGATGCCGATTACCACTACCACCACCTCTTATTCCCCTAACAAACTATCCGTAGGATGAGAAGATACCAAAAAAAAAAGAAAAAAAAATACCAAACAAATGTCCTAGAAAAAATTCATCTTCCTAAATCGCTAATCTTTTAACTTCTTCTTCTTCTATTTTTTTTTTGTTTTTTTTTTTTTTCTACCACAACTTTATCCATTAATAATAATAATTTTCAATGGTTATATTTGATTTTGTAAATAATTTATTTAATGATCCTGTGTTGAGATCTTATCGATTTGAAATTGAAAGAAAAGTGTAGTGTGTGACATCTTGGCTTTTAAATGCATCACCTTTTGCTTATCTATCTATTTCTTTCTATTCCCTTTTTCCACCTTATTGGTTTCCAATACTTTGTGCCGAAAAAAAAACGACCGAAAGACGACGAGGTTTAACTCTTGTGTGGTTTATTTTTTTCTCACACAAACATGGAGTATTTGGAGTAAAAAAAAAAAAAGGATAAATTCAATAACCTCAAATGGTTCACTTCGAAAAAATGGATTTCTTTCTGATCTACACTTAGTTTTTTTTTTTTTTTAAGTGAAAACTTCTTTAGAATGACAGTGATCTGATAAGTAAATAAACGGAAACGGAGCTATGTAACGAAGCTATGAAACAACTGCCATACTAAATAATGAGAGAAAAAGAGACAAACATATAGGATGGAGCCTGCGAGAGAATGAGACGGAATATAGCTATACAGTTTTTCCTATTCTCGGTCTCCTCTTTATGCTATGCTTCATAGTTATCGCTCCTGGTTGTATATGTGTGTGTTTGTGTGCGACTGCATAATACAAAGTGTAAAAAAAACCTCACTACTTTTCGGAAAAAACCTTACTAGAGAGTTGTTTACTACACTAACAGAGGTGTTTAGTTACCATGCATTTTTTAGTTACCAGAAGCAACTCGTCTCATTTCTTTGAATTGAGAACTTGCTTACTGTGTAAATATGTTATCTATTTATATATGCTTTCAATAAAATGTATAATAATTTTTTAATGTGATAACAATAATATAATAATAATAATATTATAACAAATAAACCCTACAATTATCCTATTCCTGATATTCTGCAGTCGTCTCATTCTCTCGAAACTTAGATTTTCAAAGGTTTCACTTCTAACACGTGTGATCTGCCAACATGATATTTTTTTTTTAGATGTATATATATATATATATATACTACATACTTTTATCATTTTGTCAACTTTTCATAGGAAAAATAAAAACAAGCAAAATACAAAAATATGTAAACGTTCTGTCGAATTTTATTTTCAAACCAATAGTAGTTGTTTTCAGTTAATTTTATTGAAAATAACTAAAATTTAGGAAACTTTTATTTTATTTTTAATTTTGATTGAAACATTGAAATATTTTGTTATTTTGACATACCATATTTTCCATCGACGTGTGATCCTGCGTACCAGATGATCGATTTCCTTGTAACAAAGCTTCTAAACTTTCGATATATTCTATCGCATTTCTGAGTATCTCAACTTTTGGTAAACGTTGATTAGGATTGTTGCTGGTTCTTCGTTTTAATACTTCGAAAGCTTCATTAACCTGTAAATCATTAATCATAATACATCATTGTAAAATAAATCATCAGATCATTTGCAATAACTACAAATCATTTTTAAGTAATACAATTTTTGTAATATTCATCATCCGAAAAAAGCTTCTTACTTCAAATGGAGAGTAATAAACGTCGATAAATATTTTCATAATATCAAATACAGCTGGAATACTGTATATAAACATTTACGTTTTATAAATTAAATTCAGATATTACGAGAGTTAGAGGGGAACAAAAATTTGTGAAATCAAAATTCAAACGTCAATTTTAAAAGTAAACAAATTACGAATTTTTTTCATTGAAGTTTTACCATTTGTTCGGCAACCATGATTACTTCAAAAAAGTTTTATACATTTTTATATTAATTATAAATATTTGATTTGACGTTGAATAAATAGGTAGATGTGATTGTATAATTTTAAGTAAGAAACTTAAACTTTCATTAGGTATATCTTCAACTGGATTTGGTTTTAATACACCTGAAGGTTTATCGATGCTCCTTAGGATTACTCAGAGTCGATTAGTTAGGACGAATGACTCGACCAAAATTACGTTTGCCTTTAGATCACTGTGTTAGTATTCGATTAATTGAATAACCGGCAATGAAATTTCGATCTTCCGAATGATTCTCGATTAACCAGTTAAGTGCGTTCGACGTGTATACACGTCGTGGTAAAATAACAAATTTACCATTCACTATAAAAACTCGAAATGTTAATACAAAATGTAATAAGAATTATTATTTGATGGTATGTTCCCATTTATATTACCAATACAACCTTCTATATATTTTATTTATATTGATTTAATTTAATTTTTATTTATAAGATGTGCTGTTTGCCAAAAAAATGGAAAATTCAAGGAAAACAAGGTTTTGGTGTTTCGCCCTGTGAAAGTCACACTTTGCGTAGTACAATGCACACTTTGAAACATATCACACATACATAGACTTGAAATTTTGTCCATTATTTTCTTCTTATTTTTCTTTTCGTTTATTCTTCTTATTTTCAATTTTTCTTGTTTATGTATTTTTATTATTATTTTGTTGACAATTGTCAAGCTTTTACGTATGAATAACGTATTTAGTAAACGAATTGTTAGTTTTTTTTTGGACTTTGAATAAAAATGTAATCCTTGTATAATAATACCATTGTGCTCGTGCATTCGACGTGTATACACGTCGTTGCTTATTTTCAATTCCACACTCTGTGGTGGTGATCTTTTGAAAGTAAATTTCACAGTCAGCTGGTTAATTGATAAATTCACTTGAGTTAAGATTTAATATTAGTCAACATATCGATACACAAATCTAACGATTTATTAAATGTGATTATAAAAAGGATTGAAATGAAGTGAAAAAAAAACAAACAAACAAGAACCTTTCTCAAACGTCTTCTTTCTCTCAACGTGGCAGCTTTCCTACGATCAACAGTAACAGTTTTCTTTTTACAAGCTTTGCAAGCCCAAAGTAGACACCTCCGTGGTCCATGTGGTGAACCCGTGTCCAGGACGTGTGGATGAGGAACATGTTCAACCGTTTCACTCTCATTCGTTTCTTCTCCATCTGCTGAAGGTGATTCTAAATCAGCTGAAGCGTCAGCCGAGACAACTGAGGATGCATCATCCGAATCTAGGATGTATCTAGATTGTGTCCTATTTAAATAAAAAGAAAAATTAATAGAAAAATAAATAGAAAAGAAACATCTATTACATCTCATCTATTAAATCATATGAGAATTGTATCATGCAAATGAGATATAAATAATTCAAATTATTAATTTTAAATAATCAAATATCAAATAATAAAGAGAGATTATTAATTTTAAATAATCAAATCTAGGATTTATCTAGATTATGTCCTATTTAAATAAAAACTTAACTAGATAATAAAAACCTATTACATCTCATCTATTAAATCATATATAATAAGAATTGTATCATGCAAACGAGATATACTTAATTATTATTATTAATTTTAAATAATAAAATATTAAATAATAAAATATAATAATTGATGACACTCTCAAAGCCCTTATTTTAAATATATATATATATATATATATATATATATATATATATATGATAAC